AGCCAGCGAGGCGTCAACTACGACATCCGGACACCGAAGACGCAGTCCTGACCGGCAACGTCTGCGACCAGAGTCGGAGCGCTTGAGTCAACGTATCAAGAATCGCGCCCTCAAATCCACACGAAGTGATAAGTCGCGGTATGCAGACAGCAAAGCCTCCACCAATTCAGTTCATTCCGCTGATAAGGGCAGACGGGGTCCGCGTGTTAAGCAAGTCGGTCGTAAATCCATCGGTAAGTAGGATCATTTGCAAATACTTTCCATGGAGGTTTGACTGCCTCCCTTTCAGGTCTGTTTAATATTACACGACTATATCGAGTTCCTTCGTAGTACAGTGACTGAAATCCTAGCCAGCATTAGTTTACTAATAGGTGCTCTCCATCATCTTTGTCCAGGCCTAATTTTTAACAGACGAGTGCACAAATTTGGAATTGTGCCAGCTTGCACTTGCCGTAGTGTCTCAGGGCTCTGGGTGCCCATAGAACTCGTTTTATAAAGGCTTTACACCACGTCTTTCCACTACACGCAAATTCTTCACTCGGCGACTTGTTTCCGGCATGTCACTACTGCCTTGGAAAAGAACCAGTGGTGTTCCACCGTTGAGTTTCCTCACGACGATAAACAAACCGACTTTCAAACTAGCACGGATACCTAAAATTTGAGGTTCCGTTGGCCAACTGGGTCCTACGGTGTATCAAGCTGCAATGGCTTCCTACTATAACACCCATACAATCTTTCCTAGTTTGGAAAACCGAGATCAAATTTACTGAAAGATTTATTTGCGTACATATCAGGACGTATGTAGGTTTTTGAGGGATGCGGGTGTAGCCCTTGATGACCCTCTTTATGTAAAATTGAGATTGTAAATGCAATTCGGTAACAGTCTGGTTTTTGGCGCACTATAGCAAGTGAAAATCCAGCCATCGGTAATACGGGACCGTTGGTAATAGGGGTTAAATGGTTGGGGCAAAGTGGGAGAAAAAATAATAATTGAAAGATAGAACGTATAAAAGTAGAAAATAACAGGAAGAATTATTAAAATAACCTAATATTTGGCAACAAAAAAGCGCGCGATAATTAAAATGGAAAATACAGCCAATAGAAAACAAGACCTGCTCAAGTTGCGGAACTGCACAACGAACTAAACTACAA